GTGGGACCTCTACCTTACTGTATACGCCGGTCTATATCGTAAAGGTGGGACCTCTACCTTACTGTATACACCAGACTATATCATGGAGGTGGGACCTCTACTTTACTGTATATGCCGGTCTATATCGTAGACATGGGACCTCGACCTTACTGCATACCTGTGTCTATATCATATGTATGTCCTCATGTCCTGAAAAAGTCAAAACAAATGGTTTCAGTCTTTCAGTCACCCTGGACTGTCTGTGTTACATTAAGATTATTCAGCTCCTCTAACACGACTTACAATCTTACCCAGTCAAATGCCTAGTCAAATTATTGGAGGCCTTAATATTCTGTTCAGGAGTTAAGACTTGACAACACTTTTCTGCATGAGCTTTCAGGCTGCGGACAGTTGTGCATATGGCAACTTGTGTTCGTACTACATTTGGCTGTGGATGCGGATGGTCGTGGTCGGTGTATGCCTGCATACAGCAGTGGTATTCCACCAAACCAGGAGAGGGCAGATGTATTGCAACAAAGAGAAATACAAGCTGTGTCATGAAATGGGTTCATTTTTATGATTAAACCTTTATAAATTGTTAGTCTAGGCTTGGGCGGTATTATGGCATACCGCGGTATTTTGAAATACAGCCCGCCCCCAACTTGCCAAATTTTATTGCCATGATTTCAAAATACCGGAATAGTGTTACTTTTGAAAATAGCGTATACTGCAGTATGATATCAGGACAGTGTGTAAAATTTGAAATGCGAGTACCTCCGTATCTTTAAACTGTCACTGTCACATTCATGAATAAATAATAAATTCATAAGATAGTTTGAACTTCTAATTATTCTTAATGTGAAAATAATCCTACATGTTATTACCCAACTATCTATGGATGTCCAATCTTATCTGATCCAAGCACCAGCACCTAGTGAAGCATACCGATCACTGCACTTAGGAACCTGCCTGTAGGGACGGAGGCTCATAGGTAAAAGCAAATAGAAAGTATACCTTGCAGTAGGTCAGTGGAGCCTCTTTGACTTCTGTTACTGACATATCTGAGTGACAATTTGGTGGAACTAGAAATCTCACCTTTTTTATGTTGTACCGTATGGTAATGATTCAATAAATGGAATATTGAACAAAAGGAATGTCTTGGAAGTGCGTCATTTAAAACATCAGCTGCCTGTTCTATTTGAATATATTTCTACACACCTAGTGTCATAAATGAGCATCACCTGTGCATGTTATTGTGCGACTTTTACATAAAGCCTGTCAGCTTCATGCCTTGTGTGCTGCCCCTCCCAGGGGGACAGCGGAGGCCCCCTGGCCTGTGAGGACTCCTCGGTGTGGAAGCTGGTGGGGGTCACAAGCTGGGGCCAGGGCTGTGCGGAGCGAAACAAGCCTGGAGTGTACACCCGCATCAGCCAGGCCCTGACCTGGATCCATGAGCAGATGGAGGTAAACAGGGGGTGGGATTACATTGATGGTGCTGATTGTAATCGTTGGGGTGATGCTGAGAATTTTTCAGCAGGTATCTCAACACATTTTTGTGACACATGCTTATTAACCAGCTGTTAATATAAAAGTAAATAGCTTAGAATAATCTACATATATAAGCATTTTTTCCTGCATGTCCTGTAGACAACTGAAGAATGATATACATAAAAATGGTACAGTGCCATCTGGGTTTTTTAAAGATGTCAGTTAAGTTTTTGGTTGTACACAATTATTGGAGACTTAAAAGCAAATTACAACATTCTGTAAAACTACTTGGACAGGTGTCTCTCATTTCATTGTCCATAAAATTCAAAATGTCACTGAATGATCCAGCACTGACAGCCCAGTCCACTGCCCTACTGGTTGAGCCCAACCTGACAGGCCAGTAGTGTCCCTGGTAACTGATGTCGTGGGGTGCATTTCCCAAAAGCTACCATTAGCAACTTACATGGTTGGACCCATTCAGTTACATGACTGCAACTATGTAAGTTGCTATTGTGGTTAACTAGTTAGTATGCTTTTGGGAAATGTACTCCTAATCATCAGTGTCTTATTATTATTCATATAGCCAGTAGAAGGTAATGTATATTTATGGAGGCTAGTAATTAATAAATGGGGTTTGGTGAGAATATAGCTACAGTCTAATTAGCCTAATTTCTTTCTTTTAGAGAGAAGAGGCTTTGAACCCTGAAATAGTCAGTACTGACCACTGAAGAGGACTCACAGGCATACTTATTTAAATTTTTACATTTTTCTATGGTTATGTCTATAAACTCATTCTGTGCTTCTCCATTATCCTGCTACTTTTGTCATCTAACAAAAAAAATGACTGATGTGATGCTGTTTTTTTTACTTCCTGATTATTTATTTATTAGCTAACCTATGGAATAAATTTTTACTTAAAATGTATTCTTTGAACATTATTAAAAGATTTAGTACTGTATCTTCCACTGCATCTGTTGAATAACTTTAAATGACAGCATTTCAGTCATGAAATGTACTGTCATCTTACATTATAATGATATAATTTATATATTTCTAGCTGTTAATGAAGTGGATGTTTATAAGTAACAGTGTAGGTCTGCTATGTTTTTTTCCATTACCTGCTTAGGGGGTGTATGTGTGTGATTGTATGTACCCTGCAGTGGTCTGGTGTCCTCTTCTGGGTGTCCCCCAGCCAGGTGCCCTATGATGAACTGGCGTCCTGTCTAGGGTGCCCCCCAGCCAGGTGCCCTATGATGGACCATCGTCCTATCCAGGGTGTCCCCCAGCCTGATGCCCCCACCCATGCTGCCTAGGATGGGCTTCAGCCCCCCACCCCCCACCTCTGACAACCAGAACAAAGGCTTAGAAGATGGATGCCTGTTTAGAAGAACCTGATTTTAATGTGTTCTATTTACTTGAAATCCATGACAACAAAACTAATTCATTTTGCCTGTGAAACAATAGTCACATTACACCTTTCACCTACACATTTCAGGATATCCTCCATCTGTCACTTTGTCTCAGTTGTTGGGTACTATCATGGTGCCTAACGGGCTTTGTTGTACAGGCCAGTATTTCTGAGATACTTCTCAGGGATCTTCTAGTGCAGCGCTGGGGAACGTGATCCACAGAAGACCACTGTTGGTCCAAGTTTTTGGGATGACCTGTCAATAAGCAAATAAAGCAGTGGTTCTCAGCTTCAGTCCTGGGGACCCACTATTAATGGCTCTAGTGCCAGCCTGCCATTCATAGATAAAATTGCAAGAACTACAGTGCAGACAGACCTTACAAGCAATCTGTAGTGTATATACAAAGATACTTTTTACAAATAGATGTTTGAGCTACCGTCACATACACATGCACACCTGCATCCTCATTTAGCTTTGGTCCTTTTCTGGGGCGATGAGTCACTGTAAAATTATACACTTGAAAAAGCACAGCAGTTGTATAGTTCCATATGGAGGGCGCCTCTTTTGCCTTGTCAGATACAGGGACAGTGAATCCTTAACTCAGTGGTACGTCTGCATGTTTGTGTGCACTGTACACGAATATCCGATACTGGGGTGAGGCGTGTAGTGTGTGAACACAAAGAAACACCAGTAGCACACAGAGGTTAGGCGTAGTTTATTCCAAAATAGAAAGCTCTAAAGCAAACAAAAAAACGAGTGAGGAAGGAACCGTAATGCTGCACAAAGCTGGCAGCCCCACAGAGCCACAGCTCGGGGCTCTCAGCTTCCTTACTTAATGAGATTCCATAGTTTGCTGGGGCATGAGAGCAGCCAGCTGTGGGGTGTGTGAGGGTCAAGGTCCTAGATGCTGGGAGTCACCCAACATGGAGGCGGCATAAGGAGTGGAGCAGTAACAAACCTCTCCAGCAAGGGGCTCTCCTGAGCTCCTTCCTGGATTTGGCCTTTGTGTATAAATAAAACAGTGCGCAGTACACTTCCTGCAGTTTCTGCCAGAGCTGCTTGTGTCTCCAGGTCACAAATTGTGCTTTTTGACAAGGTTTGGGCTTTTTCTGTATTTACTGTTCATCGTACAAAGTATATGGGAAAATACAACTGACAGAGAATGACATCTACACTACAAATGCAAGTACATACTAGGTAAAAAATAAACAATGAAACTGACTTCTCTACAAGCGCAGTAATGGATTTGACACTTTGTCCTTCTACAGGTTTGATGACCTGAATTGCTCAGGTACAGAATGTAATGTAGAAAATTGCCATTTCACTGCCTTTGCTATATTCATACTCAGGAGGACTGTATGTCTAGTTTGGCTACAGTTTAGGCTTTTCCGTGCTTCTAAGTTAATTTAAAAAAAAAAAAAATTAAGGCCCTCTCTGTAGTTCATTAAAACCAGTTCTTTCATTAATATATTTTAGCAATGTTATAGGACCCCAAAAACAGGGCAGCCTTTTCAGTAATCAATCTTTATACATAGACATCCTTTAAGAACAAAAAAAAACACCCATCATTTTTATGTTCATGTAGAAAAATAACTTCTTTTTCCATTCATCTTGTTGGCTTTGCGAGCAGCGGCAAGCCCTGGTTTATGTCCCGAAAACGACCTCCCACGCGTGCACAACTAGTCAAACACAGGCATGCTGAGAAAAGCAAATCATCAAAGAATCTTTAAGCTCTTGTCCCAAAAGAGGGGCGATGGAAAAAACACATCAGTCCAGTGGTCACTGGCGTACATTAAAAATGTGTTTGCGGGCATTTATCACGTCATTTGTTTTCTTGAAATTGTTTGTAGCTTACCATAAAATACAAAAAGTGCACTCGTCTACAACTACGTATAAAATGGTTTCCAAAGCGAAACTCGGAGCACGCAGTGTGTGCCATACACACGTGTGCGTGTAAGTGGAGTCTGTGGCGTGTTTTAATAACATGCTTTTGCGTGCCAGTGCAAATGGGGGCTTACTAGGATTAGGCCAACCATCTGATGTGTCCCGTTTGTCTCAGGGACCTCGACACAAGTCACCAGTTGCTCTTTCCATCTGCGTGTCTCTGCACATTATAGTCCTTGCATTTGTGTTCAATCCACAAACATTAGTGAGCACCTTCAGATCCAAGCATGCACTCCGCTGTGTTGGGTTGTGCCTCATGTTGGTGTTTGTACGTGTGCGTGCGTGTGTGTCTGTGTGTGCATGTGGGTACACGTGCACCTGTCCCATAGGCCAGGCCCTGGCTCCTACTGCAGCGAGTCGCTGGTGTCCAGCCCAAGGCTGGCCATGTTGGCCCGTGACAAGCCGCTGTCTCTGTCCCCATCAGCATCGTCATCGTCTCCGCTCTCCCCGGACTCATCCTCACTGTGCGGCCCGATCATCACCTGCTGCACAGCCAACGTGGCGCCGTCTGACGACAGAGTCTGCAGCCCATCCACGCTCATGCCCACTGTCACCATTGTACCTGCGGGAGGCCGAGGAAACATGGAGACTCGTCACATCAGACAGCACCCACCCCACACCTAACACTTATGCCTTGTGTCCACCAACATGGTGCCGGTGCAGGACTTTTCCCCAATCTGGCACTGGTTCCACGTATTTCCACCACAAAAAAATGGCCCCAAGCCAGAAAAAATGGCTCCAGCACGGCCCCACAGAAAACATGGGCTCATAATGTGGCATCATAACATCAGCAAAAAGTGGGACGGGCTACGGCGTCCAAACCTTTTGTAAACCCGGAAAATTCTATCCATAACCGATATAGCTAGTCTATGGTGTTGCTGGCAGTGAAACAACTTGCCAGCTTATTAGCGGAATAAGGTTACATAATTTTTTTATTCTGAGAAAAATGAAAGATCGCTCTGCTGGCCAGATTTAATAATGAAGTATAAATATGTCGCAGGTGGAATAAATTAAATATGCCGTATGAGTGAAACCATGAAGCAGACAGCAAAGTTTAGTTTTTAGCATTACTACATGATCCTTAAAAAGGACAGCGGTGAAAAAGCAAGCGAGTAAAACAGCAAGTGAATAAACTAACACACACAGATGGGGGAGTCTTTATAGAGACAAAATGTTGTAAAATAGCTTAAAATAGTATGGCCTGTATTTGCTGAAAATAAGATATCTTATGTAAAATATTAACTTGCACTAAATAAGGACAGCGGTAAAACAACGAGCGAGAATAAAGAATAAACTCACTTACACACACAGATGGGGAGCCTTTAAAGAGACAAAAGTGGATACAGGCAACAGAGACAGGCCGCATCGAGTCATACTCCGGAAACTTTTTTTTCGGCAAAATAAATCCAAAAAACGAAATACAGATTAACCTTTACTTTCACTTCCACCTATGTAATATTTCTCTTCCGTTCTTTTTTGAAACCGGTGGAAACGCAGGCTGATTCTCAAAAGGCACCAAGCGAGAACCAGCTCAGCACCGGCACCGGCACCAGCTCCGTGTTGGTGGAAACGTCTACTAGCTATAACTAGTGACAGTGACCACCAGGTAGCAGGTAACCATCTCCAGGAACTGTTATTCTGAAAATCTATTATTCATTTAGACCGCGCAGATACAGACACACAGCCAGCCATACCGTCAGCCATGGTGACCTGCTGCTGGGACACGCCTGATGCGATGGACTCTGGCCAGAATCGCTGCAGTGGCCGGTTCTGCGGTGTCTTCTTCTTGGTCTTGGGGGTCTCTGAGGAGCTGGCGTCCAGCATGGGCTGCAGGATCCGCCTCCGCGCATTGATGAACCTGCCGGACATAAAGGAAGGAGCAGGTGAGCCTCATACCTCAGGGGGTGGGCCAGTCACCGGCCCGGGGACAAGGAGAGTAAAATACACTCCTGAAGGGGAGGGGCAAACTCCCCGACGAGTGGAGGCAAAGTAAGTAAAAAGCTATAAACCTGAAGAAGAGGACTGGAGGGACATCTTAAGTTATAACTCCTAGAAAAGGCCATAAAGATCAACAGACAAAGACAAAAGCAACAGGACTTCTATTAGAAGACACTAAGAATACTGCTGCAGGCCTGTATATGGTGTCACAAAATATAACTGTCGGGAATAGCAGTAAAAATGTGCGACCATTTTAGGGTTGGGGGGGGGCGGTGCAGTAGAACAGTGTTTCTCAGTGCAGTCATTGGGATCCCCCAGACAGTCCGCATTTCATTTTCCTACCAGGGGCTGGGACACAGAAAAAAAAGACTGTCTGGCAGTTAGCTGGGAGGGAGCAAAGACATGGACCATCTGGGATCTCCAAGGACTACACTGAGAAACACTTCAGCAGAGGGGCAGGCCATACACTGCTTCTAAAAAGCCAAGAAAAATGGCAGGGTAAACAGTAAATCCTTAGCACGATGTACCGTGTCTGACAGGGTAATCAGCTGGTCGGGTGAGTGGCATAAAGCGATACTCACCAGTTATTGACCTGCAGCAGGGTCAGATTTGTCTGAGTGGCAATCTGCTTCTTCTCATCCTCTGTGGGGTAGGGGTGCTGGGGATAGACACACACGTCAGGCCCTGCCCATGCTTTCACCCATGTCTTCTTGTATACATTCTGTGTTTGTGCAAACAGGCTGCATACTATCAAAGGAATTACAGTATTACAACATTTAAAAATAAAAAGTGTCTGCTTGCTCTGCTCCTGGTAACTACTGGATAGGGTAAGTAAGCTTGTCAGAGAGTCATAGGAGAGGTTAAAAGGGAGCCCCCTGCAGCTCGGAGCGGTGGGATGCCACGTCTCTCACAGAGACTACACCAGCTACATGTTCAGGCACTTTCCGGCTAACGGTGATACATCTAGACTCAGCAAGGCTCTTAAAACACAGGCAAACTGCCTCAATGTACATTAACTGTATCCCTCTTGTTTCCTACTCTTTTTCTACCCCTTCATCTCTATCCCTCCCTGCCTTTCCTTCCATCTCTCAGCAGGGAACAAGAAGTCCCTGTGTGCTGAGGACCCACGCAGGCCCCCAGGCAGCCTGACAGTGCACTGAGATCAGGCGGCCAGCTTCAGAGGCAGTCATCTGACAGGGGAGCTACATCTAGCGGACCATCCCGCAGTGCTGGAAAGATCCCAGCCTGTCTCCTCCTCAGGCTTTGGGTTCACCCAAGACCACAGAAACCCTCCCATGATAGACTCATGACTGACTGATTCACTCACTGACTGCCAGACAGACAGATCGATCCCAAGTTTGAAATTCTGAAACAGTCTCTGATACTGACTCTGTACTGCTGTTCATCATATTTTTCATTATACACACATAGCTCTATATACACAAGGAACTTAAGACCTTAAAGCAAGGGTGGCCAATCTTACCCAGAAAGGGTCATTGTGTATTTGGGTTTTCGCTACAACTCCTTAATAAGATTACTAATTAGAGGATTGACTGGCTGAAGAGTCTTCAGACCTGGGATTGAACAGCTGACCTAAAGGTTTTCCCAAAAACATGCATACATCTCTGCCTGAAGGGGACCTTACAGAGACATACAGAGTAAACATCCAGGTAAAATATGATTACTTTACATTTATAATATCACTACTTTACAATAAAGTACAGAACTGCTTATAAACCTTGAACCAATGAA